CCCCCAGCAGTCTCTCCCCGCCCACTGGCTGCTTCCTGGGCCGGTCAGTGCCCGCCCCCAGCAGTCTCTCCCCACCCACTGGCTGCTTCCTGGGCCTGGGACGTTCTCTTCTGGAGGTAGGGGCCTCCAAAGATGAGAGGGGCCGTGGGGCCTTCGGCTCCCGGGGTAGAGTCTCAGGAAGGCTTGGGCCAGACACACCTTTGCCAAGGGCTCAGGGTCCCAGGGCCAGCCCGGCCTGTGGCATATTCCTTCCTTATATCCCTGCCAGTGAGCAGGATGGGGAGGTCTCCGCAGCAGCAAAAGTGGCCTGTGGCTTTGAGGGGCAGAGTGGAGGGGGCTCTGGGACCCTTGGGTTTGGGCTGGGTCAGCTCACAAACCCTCCCTCCCTCCCCTTCACACCGCCTCTTTGTTCTGCAGAAGTTGGGCTAGCAGCATGGAGGCCGATGCAGGCTGGACCTGTCCTGCAGTCCAGTGCTAGCAGAATCTGGTCCCCGTGGGCTCCTGGGGGACTTGAAGCCACGGCCCCCAGAACCCACCTATCTGCCTCTCTCCACAGCCCCTGACGAAGCGCCCACCATCCTCTCCGTGACGCCCCACACCACCACCTCCGTGCTAATCCGATGGCAGGTACAGCCCAGCAGGCAGGAAGGCTCCATGAAGACTCAGACATACTCTGCTCTGGGACTGGAAAGCCGGCAGTCCCCACCAGGGCTGCAGGGAGCCCCCAGGTTCTCTGCTGTCAGAGCACGTGGGAAGCCAGGAGAAATCCAGACGTGTGCATGTCACGGAACATTCTATGCACATGCGTGCACGCACATGCACACACACGCACACTCGCATAACACACCTTACGCTCTCCAGACAGTCACATCAGCCAGCAGCTGTCATCCCCTTCTGCAGATGACCACTGAGACTCAGGGTGGAACCCGAATGGCCCCAGGTCACATAGCCCATGAGTGGCAGGAGCAGGAGTATTAGCCTTAGGTCTGCTGAGTCCTTGGACTGGAAAGTGCTTGGGGCTCTCAGGGCCCCCAGAGCCTCTATGAAGCCACCACTGGTCAGTGAAGGGTTTCCTTATAGAGACCCATGCCCGTCACCATCGCTGTCCAAGTAGAGAGGAAATGCCCTCCTTCCTCCATACCGCTTCCAGATGCCCACAATTTGGTGGGCACTGCCATGGCCTGGGGAAGACCACTGGCAAACCTCAGCAACCAGGCTGCTCATGGGTCCTGCCCTGTGGGGCCCTCCTGTGCTCTCTGAAGTCCAGCCTTGACTCAGCGGGTCACCCACAGAGGCCCCCAAAGCACTGAACTCCCGTCACCACTTCTCCTGATCAGAGGGGCAGGCACTCGCCTTCAGCCGCCTGCTGTCCCCTAGAGAGAAAGCCCTTGAAGACAAAGCCAGGAGGGCCCCCCCCAGCCCCTCCCCAGCCTGAGACACACAGCCTCAAGGAGAGGACGTTCCCTTAGATGAACATGACCTAGTGCTCCTGTGACCAGGATGAGGCTGGAGCAACTCGGCAGAGGGGCAGGGAGGTGCCCGAAGCAGCTAGGGAAGCCATAAGGAACTAATAAAGGCTGAGCCATTTCAGCAGGGTTTTGTTTTTGTTTTTGTTTTGAGACAGTCTTGCTCTGTCACCCAGTCTAGAGTGATGTGGCACAATCTCGGCTCACTGCAGCCTCTACCTCCCAGATTCAAGTGATTCTCCTGCCTCAGCTTCCCAAGTATCTGGGATTACAGGTGCCCGCCACCACACCCAGCTAATTTTTGTATTTTTAGTGCACATGGTGTTTCACCATGTTGGCCAGGCTGGTCTCAAACTTTGACCTCAGGTGATCCGCCTACCTCGGCCTCCTAAAGTGCTGAGATTACAGACATGAGCTACCACACCCGGCCTAACCCAGCTGATTTGTATATTTTTAGCAGAGACGGGGTTTCACTGTGTTGGCCCCGCTGCTCAGCCAATTCTTTATATGCAGTATCATTGAGAAGTAGTTCCCACCTTCTCCTAAAACCTGTTCTGCAGCTGAGCTGTAGACAGGAGAAGCAGCAAAGGATAATTTGATGAAGGGGTGAGGGGTGCACTCACCCTTGCCAGTACTAAGAGTAGGAGAGGGCTCAGCTTGCAGGAAATGCCAGGAAGATTTATCCAGGTGTGAAGGCAGGGACCAGCAGGCCTGGGGAGGCTGGTGATTAGGGAGGGCAGCCTTGAAGACAAAGGAGCTGTGAAAACAGCTGTGTGTTCCAGCCCCCAGTGATGCTGTGTGATCTTGGGCAAGTTCCTTAACATCTCTGAGCTCCAGTTCCCTGCTTGGGTAAAAGACAATTACGGATTCCTGCCCTTCCCTCCTTCCAGGGAACGCTGCAGGGATGAAATCACTTCATCAGAAGTGCTTTGTAAATTTAAAATGCTCACTGTTAACTTGATTTCTTTTCCTGGTTGAAACACAGATGCTGCTCTGTGGCTGCAGGAGGCATGATAAGTGGCCATGGGGTGGGGTGGGCGGTGGTCCGGGCTCCCTCCCCATTCCCTGCTCCCTTCTCTGCAGCCGCCAGCTGAGGACAAGATCAACGGCGTCCTCCTGGGCTTCCGGATCCGGTACCGGGAGCTGCTCTATGAAGGACTGAGGGGCTTCACGCTTCGAGGCATCAACAACCCGGGGGCTACATGGGCCGAGCTTACCTGTGAGTGGCACTCAGGAGCTGGGGGAATGGGTGGGACGGGTGGTCACCCTCACCTTCCTGCTCTGGAGCTCTCAGCCCTCTGGAACCACTCTAACCTAAAACCCTGCCTCCCTCCCCTGTGTGTGCCTCTGCCTCCTCCCATCCCATTCATTCATGTGCTGGATATTTGCTGAGCACCTTCTATGGTGCTCAAGACATGAGCCCCAAGACACTGCGGGGCACACGGATAATCGAGACAGACAGGGTCCTTGCCCCTGTGGAGTTACAGGCTGGAGGAGGAGCCAGGAGAGCCAGGAAGGAAGCATTCTAGGAGGGCCAGGCAAGGCTTTCCCGGCGTGAGGCTTGCGTGGCTCTGGCGCTAACATGGAAGGACGATGCCAAGTTAGCCAGGCCAAAGGGATGGGGACAGCCTAGTGCATGGGAAGGAGCACCCTGCCCTTGAGGGAACAGAAGCCTCACCTGGTCACACCCCAAGACCAGCAGCCCTGATTCCCTCTTTTTCCTGGGGGAAGTCACTGTCCTGCCTGTCCTGGGGATCCAGCCTGCCCCCTGGAGTGAAAGAAGGAAAGCAGGGCGGCCAGGTGGAAATGTCAGGGAGAGCTGATGCCCAGGAGGTCACAGCAAGGGACAGATGTGCTCAGATTTTTGTGTTAGGAGTCACTTTGGTAGCATGAGGATAATGTCTTGGCCATGGTGGGAGGACAGGAGCCAGAGGCAGGGGCCCAGCTGCAGGCTATCTCGGTCACATAGCAAGAGAGCACGAGGTTGGAACCAAGGCCAGTCTGGGAGATGATACGTGATGGGCACAGATGCTCCAAGACCCGGGGTTTTCTTTTGGTTTGTTTTTTTGAGGTAGAGTCTTGCTCTGTTGCCCGGGCTGGAGTGTAGTGGTGCAATCTCGGCTCACTGCAACCTTCACCCGCTGGGTTCAAGTGATTCTAGGGCCTCAGCCTCCCAAGTAGTTGGGACTACAGGCACGTACCACCACGCCCAGCTAATTTTTGTGGCTTTTGTTGTTTGTTTTGTTTAGTAGAGACAGGATTCGCCATGTTGGCCAGCCTGGTCTTGAACTCCTGACCTTAAGTGATCTGCCTGCTTTGGCTTCCCAAAGTGCTGGGATTACAGGCGTGAGCCACCGTGCCTGGCCTGTTTTTGATTTTTCAAAGTAAATCAGTCACTCACATAATAATTGCTTAGTATTCCACATTGGCAGTTAGTTGGGTGTGTTTATGACAGTTAAGAGCTTTAGACAGAATGCTGCAAAGTGGTACAACCAATGAAATATTTTACAGCACGGCAGATAGCAACAATAATTAGAACCCCTTGGTACATAATGAAAGAAAAAAACTGAGGTTTTCCCGGTGGCTCAGAGCTGATGTTCATCTACACCTGGCTTGTTTGGGTCTGAAGTGCCTGTATTCACCTGAGATTTGGATTCAGATCACTAGAGGTTTTTATAAAGAGCCTCCTTCCCTAAATATCCTCCATCCACCTGTCTGGGACTCCATGATTGGTTCACAGTGGGAGAGAGCAGCAGGCAGGGGTACCCCAGAGGACCGGGTACTCAGGTGGGTATGGGACACTCCCCAGACAGACTAGCAGGGGAGTGGGTCAGTTTAAGAGCCTCTTCATTTTCCTTTTTTTTTTTCTCTGAGATGGAGTTTCACTCTTGTTGCCCAAGCTGGCGTACAATGGTGTGATCTCAGCTCACTGCAATCTCTGCCTCCCGGGTTCAAATAATTCTCCTGCCTCAGCCTCCCAAGTAGCTGGGATTACAGGTGCATGCCACCACACCCAGCTAATTTTTTGTATTTTTAGTAGAGACAAGGTTTCACCATGTTGGCCAGGCTGGTCTCGAACTCCTGACCTTATGATCCACCCACCTCAGCCTCCCAAAGTGCTGGGATTACAGGTACGAGCCACTGCGCCTAGCCCTCTCTTCTTTTTTATAAGGACACAAGTAATTGGATTTAGGGCCAGTCCCAAGTAGATGGAATTACAGGCACCCACTGTCACACCCAGTTAATTTTTGTATTTTTAGTAGAGATGGGGTTTCACCATGTTAGCCAGGCTGATCTCAAACCCCTAACCTCAGGGGATCCACCTGCTTCAACCCTACAAGGTGCCGGGATACAGGCATGAGCCACTACACCTGGCCTTTTTTCCTTTTTGAGATGAAAGGAGTCTTGCACTGTTGCCTAGGCTGGAGTGAAGTGGCGTGATTTCAGGGCTCACTGCAACCTCTGCCTTCCACGTTCAAGTGATTCTCCTGCCTCGGCCTCCCCAGTAGCTGGAACTACAGACACATACCACTAGCTAATGTTTGTGTTTTTAGTAAAGATAGGATTTCTCTGTGTTGGCCAGGCTGGTCTCGAACTCCTGACCCCAGGTGATCCACCAGCCTTGGCTTCCCAAAGTGCTGAGATTACAGGCATGAGCCACCATGCTCAGCCTAGCACCTACATTTTCATGTTTCCTTCCTTAGTTCTCCCAAGCCTTTTGTGCCTTGTCTTATAGTGAGTTAGCAGGCAACAAAATGATTGAGCATGTAGCAAAGGAATATTGATAGAAAAACTCAGAAGCAGCTGATCCAACAGCTTGCGTTTTTGGTGGAGATTTTTTCCTTTTTCTCTTTTTTTCTTTTTTTTTTTTTTTTTTTTTTTCGCCCTTTTTTTTTTTTTTTTTTTTTTTTTTTTTTCCTGTGTATAATACAGTCATATTTCCTAGTAGTAAAATTGTTTCTGGTTCATATGAGGAAATTAACAACTGCAGTATTTCATGATGGTTTCCAGGAGCTCTGCCTGAAACAAGGAAGAGAGTTGAGGTGAGAGGGTCTCCCAGAGCTGTCCCCAGAGATCCTGGGCTCCAGGGGGCTCCAGGTACCATGTCACCTTGGGCCAGTGCACACCAAGGTGGGGGCAGACTGTTGGGGGAGCCTTCACCTCCCCCCACCCCACCACATGGTTATCCTGGCCCCTAACCTAGCATTGGAAATCTGGAAACACTCTTCCTGTCTGTTCGTGCTGTCAGCCCCGCCTGGCTGGGGTTTCTTTGTGGAGTGGGGATGTGTGTGCACTAACCTCCTCTGTCTGCTGTCTCCCTCTGTGCCCCCGCCCCGACACCCCCACCCATAGCCATGTACTCCATGCGGAACCTGAGCCGGCCCAGCCTCACGCAGTACGAGCTGGACAGTAAGTCTCTTGCTTGCATGGTGGCTTCCTCGCAGGCCCAGGCCTCCCACGGGGAGTAGGAGTGGGGCCTCGAGAGATCTGATCAAGGCTGAGGGGTGTGCCCACCCCAGGGGGCTTGAGGAATGGGACCGCCCAGAACACAAGCGATAGCCCTAAACACACGACAAAGCAGGCGGTTGCCAGGGAACGTCTCCTTCACACCTGCCCTCTGTCAGGTGTGGGCTGGAAAATGAAGGTCTGTCCCTGTGCTCTGCTGGGTCAGGGGACAGTGACAGCAGGGGCTGCAGCAGGAGCTAGTGGACACTGCTGGGTATGTGAGCAGGCGTTCACGTGGCTGCTGCCCCACCCAGTCCCACTGAAGGCACTTCTCGGCCCAGCTGGGTCTTACGGTCTGGGCCCACACCCGGAGGGAGGTGACAGCAGTTTTAGTCACCTGCGTCCATTGTCCTCCCACGCACCAGGCATGTTCCCGCTGCTGGCACACCCTAGCCCTTGATCTTTCTCTAAAGCCCCAGCCATGGTTCTTCCTGAGACCCAGGGCCTTGCACAAGAGGGTTTCATGCTCAGGGGAAAATAGCACTGATTTAAGGCTAAGTCCTCTTCCTCCTTCCACCAGTGGCCAACACAGTCTACATAGACAGCTAGGCAAGGGTGACACCCCTCTCATAGCCCTGTTGAAGGGTAGACTCTACCCAGGGAAGGGAGTAGGGACGGGGAACCCAGAGAAGAGTGGAGAGGGTGAGAGAACCTTTCAGCCACCGGGGACAGTGACCGAGCCCGTTTCTTGCAGCTGTGTCCCTTTTCCAAGTTCTGCCAGGCGTTCCCAGGCAAGCACTTGGCAGAAACATCAGGTTTCTTAGTGCAGAATTCACATCCATCGCGCCCCTGTCCCCTGGAGCTGAGCCTCACTGTGTAACGAGTTGGTGGAGGGGGACTGAGGGGGCCTAGACTGGGGACTCTGGGCATCTGTCACAGTGGGGAAAGAGGACAGGCTGGGGGTAGGGGATGATGCTATGGCCAGGCGTGCCCAGGGCAGCTTTGGTTTACACTGGTTGTCCCAGTGTAAATATTCATAATGCATTTCAGTCTCAAAAGTGTCCAGTTAGACGGTAAAATGTATGGTCACCCTAAGCCAGGAGGTCAACCAGCATCGCCCTATGTCCAGATTGGCATGGAGCATCCCCGGGGAGCCCCGCCTCTCACCTCCTTCTTCCTGCACCTTCACACAGCGGGCTAGAATGCAAGGGTGCCTCATTCCTCCCCCACAGCCTCCATCCTCCCTGGGGGACACCTTCCTAGGAGGGACAGTGACCTCAGTGTGCCTCCCCTCCCCCACTCTTCCCCACAGACCTTAACAAGCACAGGCGGTACGAGATACGAATGAGCGTGTACAATGCCGTGGGCGAGGGGCCCTCCAGCCCCCCACACGAGGTCTTTGTGGGGGAGGCAGGTGAGCGGCGTCAGCCCTGTCCGGCCCCACATGCCTTTCCCAGCCCTACCCCGTCCAGCCGGAAGAGATGGGATCTGGGATTCCCACCCCACCCCAGCCACCTCCCCTCCCAGGTTTACTTGCACGCTCACTCCCTATCCCACATGCCCTCCAGTGCCCACAGCAGCACCTCGTAATGTGGTCGTCCACGGTGCCACGGCCACACAGCTGGACGTGACTTGGGAGCCACCTCCGCTGGACAGCCAGAATGGAGACATCCAGGGGTACAAGGTAGGGTGCCCTTGGGCAAAGCGAAGGGGGGCATGGACGAGGGACCAGGTCAGGGGCTGGGGAGTGAGTGACAGGTGGTAATCGGGACAGGTGTCTCAGGCCCTCCATTCACCCAGCCAGGTCCTCAGCCCTTGAGACTCTGCCGTACACCTACTACCTTGGTTGTTTGCACCCAATTCGCAGAAATACTGCACAGCAGGAGCTAAACCACGTCCATCCCCTCCAGCCTCCTAAGGGCAGGCTGAACTTAGGCGCTGGAAACCCCAGCTATGCCTCGGCTCGTACCGCCTCTGAGCAGCACACACCCCTCCCTGCCACTCCCCAGCCCCATACACAACTTCGGACCACTCCAAGGGGCTTCTGGCCCCGTAATTACAACGTTGATACTAATCAGATGGCCAATTAGCAAAGCATCACTGCCTAGTATTTGGAAATCTCTGTTTAAAAATCATTTCTGGCCAGGCACAGCGGCTCACACCTGTAATCCCAGCATTTTGGGAGACCAAGGCAGGTGGATCACCTCGAGGTCAGGAGTTTGAGACTAGCCTGGCCAACATGGTGAAACTCCTTCTTTACTAAAAATACAAAAATTATCTGGGCATGGTGGTGGGCGCCAGTAATCTTAGCTATTTGGCAGGCTGAGGCAGGAGAATCGCTTGAACCCAGGAAGCAGAGGTTAGAGTGGGCCAAAAATGCGCCACTGTACTCAAGGCTGGGTGACAGAGACTCTGTCTCAAAAAAAAAATGAAATTAAAATTAAAAATCATTTCTAGGGCTACCTGTGGTGGTTCACACCTGTAATCCCAGCACTTTGGGAGGCCGAAGTGGACGGACTGCTTGAGCCCAGGAGCTGGAGACCAGCCTGGGTAACAGAGTGATACCCCAACTCTACCAAAAAAAATACAAAAATTAGGTGTGGCGGCATGCGCCCATAGTCCCAGCTACTCTGGAGGCTGAGGTGGGAGGACTGCCTGAGCCAGCAGGGCAGAGGTTACAGTGAGCCACAATGGAGCCATTGTACTCCAGCCTGGTAACAGAGTGAGACGCTATCTCAAAAAATTAAAAACAATCAGGCCGGGCACGGTGGCTCATGCCTGTAATCCCAGCACTTTGGGAGGCTGAGGTGGGCAGATCACAAGGTTAGGAGTTCAAGACCAGCCTGACTAACATGGTGAAACCCCGTCCCTAGGAAAAAAAAAAAAAGAAAAAAAAATTTTTAAATCATTTCTAGGTTGTGGACAATGTCCTGTGCTATGATAGAATTCAGTTTCTCCCCAATATTCACAAAGCCCTTTGGAACTCTTGGATCTTCATGAAAGGCCCATGAAGCTGGGAGGATATGGGTTTTTATGTTCATTACACAATTGAGGAAACTGAGTTTCAATTTAGATGACCTGGTGAGGTCACAAAAATAGAAGGCAAGCCGGGCACAGTAATCCCAGCTCACACCTGTAATCCCAGCACTTCGGGAGGCCAAGGCAGGCAGATCACCTGAGGTTGGGAGTTCGAGACCAGCCTGACCAACATGGAGAAACCTAGTCTCTACTAAGAATATAAAATTAGCCAGGCGTGTTGGTACATGCCTGTAATCCCAGCTACTCAGGAGGCTGGGGCAGGAGAATTGCTTGAACCCGGCAGGCAGAGGTTTCGGTGAGCCAAGATTGTGCCATTGCACTCCAGCTTAGGCAACAAGAGTAAAACTCCATCTCCAAAACAATAAAAAAACAGGGCAGGCAGCAGAGTCAGATTCCAAGTCTGCCCGCTCTTACCCCACAGGGGGTAGAGAGGAAGCATTGGCCACGTGAGCGCTAGGGGAAGTGGATTTAAAAAGGAACATGAACCACTGAGCCCAGCCCTTCACAACCCATTTAAAATATCAAACCTTGGCTGGGCGTGGCGGCTCATGCCTGTAATCCCAGCACTTTGGGAGGCTGAGGCAGGCAGATTACCTGAGGGTTAGGAGTTCAAGACCCATTTGGCCAACATAGCAAAACCCTGTCTCTACTAAAAATATAAAAATTAGCCGGGTGGTAGTGGGTGCATGTAGTCCCAGCTACTCAGGAGGCTGAGGCAGAAGAATTGCTTGAACCCGGGAGGCAGAGGCTGCCGTGCGCCAAGATCACACCACTGCGCTCCAGCCTGGGCAACAGAGTGAGACTCCATCTCCAAAATAAAAGAGGAACACGTCTGCCTGGCTGGAGCAGCTGGAACACGTAGCCCTTAGCTGTATCCGCCTCCCGCACCAGTGTCCAGCTGACTCTCATTCCTGATGGTTGGATGTTACTGCAGAGAAGAGCCCCAGTGCCAGGGGCTAAGTGGGAAGTAGGGGAGACGCAAGGCACCTCATCTCACAGGTGGAAGAAGTGTCAGCAAAGGGAAGGAGCTTACCCGAGTCACACAGCTCGTTAATATAGGTAGCCCGATTTAGGACGGAATCCAGCATGGGAGTCTCGTTCCATCTGGGGTGAAGGAGGAGGAAGGAAGGAGGACACCCCTCAAGGTGTTGCCCAGGAGCACCAGCTGGGAAAACTATTGTCCTGCTCTATGCCTCCCATGGGAAAAGAAAGGGGCCAGGGCCGTGCCAGAAGCAGTTTGGCAGCCACCACACTGTCGAGTTAATATACAGACCCAGAAAAATGTGTGGGCGCACACCACCATACAGAATCCAGCAGATGTCTACGTGTTCCAGAAAACACGACCTGTACCTGAGCGGCAACTGTGGACATGAACGGAGAAAGCGCTGTCTCCTGGACATGTGATGACCCATGTGTGGACATCAACATTCATGAGCATCGGTGATGTATTAACTTCAACCAATGAGCACCGCAAAGCAGATACTGTGTTCCAGTTACTGCACACGGCTGGAGCATGGAGCACATTCATGCACATCCTGAGAGTTCCAGTCTTTCAGTTGGTCAATGACACATGTTTACTGAGCGGTTACTGTATGCCCAGCATTGTTCTCAGAGCTGGGAATACAGCAGTGAGCAGGGACACTGTGAGCTTAGATGTTCAGGAGAAAAGACCAATAATGGACAAAATAAATAATACTGCCAGGTGGTGGTAAACGAAGCAGGTTAGGGGAGAGCCAGATCCATGGGGAGGTTTGAATTTTTTGTTTGTTTTGTTTTGTTTTTTGAGACGGGAGTCTCACTCTGTCGCCAGGCTGGAGTGCAGTGGCGTGATCTTGGCTCACTGCAACCTCTGCCTCCCAGGTTCAAGCAATTCTCCTGCCTCAGTCTCCTGAGTAGCTGGGACTACAGCTGCGCACCACCAAGCTAATTTTTGTATTATTAGTGGAGATGGGTTTCATCATGTTGGCCAGGCTGGTCTCGAACTCCTGACCTCACGTGATCTGCCTGCCTTGGCCTCAGCAAGCTCATGCCTGTAATCCCAGCAATTTAGGAGGCCGAGGGCAGATCACGTGAGGTCAGAAGTTGGAGACCAGCCTGGCCAACATGGTGAAACCCTGTCTCTACTAAAAGCACAAAAATTAGCTGTCTCTACTAAATATACAGGCATGGTGACAGGTGCCTGTAATCTATACTAATAATACAAAAATTAGCTTGGTGGTGCGCAGCTGTAGTCCCACCACCCAGCTAATTTTCGTATTTTTAGGAGAGACAGGGTTTCACTATGTTAGCCAGGATGATCTTAATCTCTTGACCTCATGATCTGCCCGCCTCAGCCTCCCAAAGTGCTGGGACTACAGGTATGAGCCACCATACCTGGCCTGAATTTTTTTTTTCCTGAGACAGAGTCTTGCTCTGTCACCCAGGCTGAAGTGCAGTGGTGCAATCTTGGCTCACTGAAACCTCCACTTCCCAGGCTCAAGTGATTCTCCCACCTTAGCCTCCCAAGTAGCTAGGATTACGGGCACCTGTCACCATGCCTGTATATTTAGTAGAGACAGCTAATTTTTGTGCTTTTAGTAGAGATGGGGTTTCACCATGTTGGCCAGGCTGGTCTCCAACTTCTGACCTCAGGTGATCTGCCCTCGGCCTCCTAAATTGCTGGGATTACAGGCATGAGCTTGCTGAGGCCAAGACAGGCAGATCACTTGAGGTCAGGAGTTTGAGACCAGCCTGGCCAACATGATGAAACCCATCTCCACTAATACAAAAATTAGGCCAGGCACAGTGGCTCACACCTGTAATCACTGCATTTTGGGAGGTTGAGGTGGGTAGATCACCTGAGGTCAGGATGAGACTGGCCTGGCCAACATTATGAAACCCCATCTCTATTAAAAATACAAAAAATTAATTGGGCATAGTGGTGCACGCCTGTAATCCCAGCAACTCAGGAAGCTGAGGCAGGGGAATCACTTGAACCCAGAAGGCGGAGGTTGCAGTGAGCCAGTATCATGCCACTGCACTCCAGCCTGGGTGACAGAGCGAGACTCCATCTCAAAAAGAAAAAGAAGATATACTCATGGTCAACAGGTATCTGAGAAGGTGTTCAGCATCGCTAAACATCAGAAAAATGAAATCAAAACCACAGTGAGATATCCCATGACACCTGCAAGAATGGCTATCATCAGGCCGGGCGCGGTGGCTCAAGCCTGTAATCCCAGCACTTTGGGAGGCCGAGCCGGGTGGATCACGAGGTCAAGAGATCGAGACCATCCTGGTCAACATGGTGAAACCCCGTCTCTACTAAAAATACAAAAACATTAGCTGGGCATGGTGGCGCGTGCCTGTAATCCCAGCTACTCAGGAGAATTGCCTGAACCCAGGAGGCGGAGGTTGCGGTGAGCTGAGATCGCGCCATTGCACTCCAGCCTGGGTAACAAGAGTGAAACTCCGTCTCAAAAAAAAAAAAAAAAAGAATGGCTATCATCAAAATGTCAAGAGATAAGTGTTGGTGAGGGTGTGGGGAAAAGGGAACCTTTGCACACTGTTGGTGAGAATGTAAATCAGTACCGCCATTGTGGATAACAGTATGGAGGTTCCGAAGAAAATTAAAAATAGAACACCAGTGATCCAGCAATCCCACTACTGGGTGTTTATCCAAAGGAATTGAAACGAGGCTCTTGAAGAGCTATCTACAGTCCCATGTTAATTCCAGCATCGTTCACAGCAGCCAAGATGTGGAAATAGCCTAAATGTCTGTGAACAGATGAATGAATGAAGAAAATGTGGTTTATACACAACGGAATACTGTCCAGCCTTGAAGGGAATCCTGCTGCTGGCAACAGTGTGGGTGGACCTGCAGGATATTACACTAAACGAAATGAACCAAGCACAGAGAGACAAATACTGCAATGACCTCACATATACGTGGAATCTCAAATAAACTCATAGAAACAGGGTGGAATGGTGGTCGCTGGAGTGAGGGAAGTAGGGAGGCGGTCACAGCATACAGCACTTCAGGTAGGCAGAATGAATCCAGTCTGGATCTAATGTACAGCATGGTGATGATAGTTAATGATACTATATTGTACATTTGAAATTTGCTCAGAAGGTTGTTACCACCAAAAGATGATGAACATGTTAATTAGTTTGATTGTGGTAATCACTTCATAATGCATATGTATATCAGAACACCGTGTCATATATCTTAAATCCATACAGATTTTTTTTTTTTTTGAGATGGAGTCTCACTCTGCCACCCAGGCTGGAGTACAGTGGCATGATCTCCACTCAGTGCAACCTCTTCCTCCTGGGTTCAAGCAATTCTCCTGCCTCAGCCTCCCGAGTAGCTGGGATTACAGGTGCCCACCACCATGCCCGGCTATATACAGATTTTATTTGTCAGTTATACCTCAATAAAGCTGAAAAAGAAAAGAAAGGGCAGGGAATTGGACATGGCAAATGGCAGATGGTGATTATAAGGGTGCACCATGCCTCGCTTGGTCCACATAAGGCATTTATTCATCCAGCAGATATTTATTGAGCACAATGGGTGTGCCAGCCATGATTCTAGGTGTTTGGGTCCCAAGGGAGCCACATGACCTGAGATGCCTCCCCTCTGGGGCGTGCATTCTGGCAGACTCCTGGTTACCCATCAGAGCGCACTGCAGCTCAGCAGCGTGCCCCGGGGGGACCAGGATCTGGGCTCAGTCCATGTACGTCCTTTGCGCAAGTGTCATCCCTCTCACTGTTAATCATCAGCTAACAAGGTCTGCAGAATGCAGCACACGCAAACAAGGTGCACCTGCTGGGGTGCCTGGTTTATGAAGATAGCTGTCCCTGGGTCCTAGGCCCCGCCCACCCTCACCCAAGGGCAGGAGTGCAGACATTGGCCCTTCCTCTCCTCCACCTCTCCGGTGGACAGCTCCCACAGGCAGGGCAGAAATGCATCCCGAGGTATGTTTCCTCTTTTCATGCCTTCTCCTGACCCCATTTTTTAAATTTTAAGATGGAATCTTGCTCTTTCACCCAGGCTGCAGTGTGTTGGCACGATCTTGGCTCACTGAAGCCTCCGCCTCCCGGGTTCAAGTGATTCTCCCGCCTCAGTCTCCCAAGTAGCTGAGATTACAGGCACCTGTCACCATGCCTGGCTAATTTTGGTATTTTTAGTAGAGACGGGGTTTCACCATGTTGGCCAGGCTGGTCTCGAACTCCTGACCTCAGGTGATCCACCTGCCTCGGCCTTCCAAAGTGCTGGGATTACAGGTGTGAACCACCACACCCAGCCTGACCTCACATTTTCTTCCAGTTGTCACCTGTTTCTTTGGCCCCTTTACAGGAGAATTCCTCAAAAGAATCTTCCATACTCACCACCTCCAATTCCTCTGTTCTCATTCTCCCTTGAACCTGCTCCAAGTAGGTTCTTGTCCCCGCCACCCCACCAAAGCTCTTCCTGACAAAGTTGCCAATAATTCCCACGTTGCTGGTATCCAGTCAAACCACAGGCTCATCCCGCCTGACTCAGCAGCTGTGTTTGACACGTGGATCCTTCCTCCTTCCTCTCAAAGTGCTTGCTTTCCTCAGCCTCCCTCCCTGGCTGTTCCTCCCCACCAACCACTGAATGCCGGAGGCCCCCAGGAATCAGTCCATGACCCTCTTCTCCATCTAAAAGAATCCATTCATTCTCCTGGTGTGCACTCATGGAAGAGCACCTGTGTGCTGATAATGATGGACTTTTAGCGTCAGCCATGACCTTTCCAAATCCAACAGGAGCGTCATTTACCGTGGTACCCCCATTACTCTGAAAGCACGAGGGAATGACTTCATAAATGACTGTCTCCACTCTCACTTATCTACCCATATAGGAAGAATCTGCTTTTTATTTTTATTTTATTTTATTAGACGGAGTCTTGCTCTGTCACTCAGGCTGAGTGCAGTGGTGCAATCGTGGCTCACTGCAACCTCCACCTCCCAGGTTCAAGCAATCCTCCTGCCTCCGCCTCCCAAGTAGCTGGGGCTGTAAGGCACACGCCATCACTCCTGGCTAATTTTTTTTTATTTTCAGTAGAGATGGAGATCTTGTCATGTTGCCCAGGCCGGTCTGAAACTCATGGGCTCGGAGAGTCTCCTGCCTTGGCCTCCCAAAGTGCTAGGATTACAGGCATAAGCCACTGCGCCCAGCAGAATCTGTTTTTGAAAAAGGGGAGAGGGCCAGGTGCAGTGGCTCACACCTGTAATCCCAGCACTTCGGGAAGCCAAGTCAGGAGAATCACCTGAGCCCATGAGTTCAAGATCAGCCTGGGCAACATGCCAAGACCCTCATCTCTACCAAAAAAAAAAAAAAAATAGCTGTTGTGGTAGCAGTTGTGTGTAGTCAGAGCTACCTGGGGGTCTGAGGCAGGAGGATTGCTTGAACCTGAAAGTCATGATTACAGTGAGCTGAGATCATGCCACTGCACTCCAGTTTGGGTGAAAAGTGAGACCCAAATAAATAAAAGTAAACAGTCTCAAAATAAAATAAAAGTAAACAAAATAAAAAGGGGGAGAGGGTCAGACACAGTGGCTCATGCCTGTAATCTCAGCAGTTTGAGAAGCGAAGGTGGTTGGATGGCTTGAGCCCAGGAGTTTGAGACCAGCCTGGGAAACATGGCAAGACCCCGTCTCTACAAAAAAATGGAAAACTTAGCTGAGTGTGGTGGTGCACACCGGTAGTCCTAGCTACTCAGGAGGCTGAGGTGGGAGGCTGGCTTGCACCCAGGAGGTGGAGGCTGCAGTGAGCTGTGATCGTGCCACTGCACTCCAGCCTGGGCAACAGAATGAGACCTGTCTCCAATAAATAAATAATGGGGAGAGGGATTGGAGAACAGCAATGATTTCCTAGTAACAACGTGTCCTAACTGCCACTCACACATGCCAGTGGGGACTCTCTTATTAGCTCTTTCTCATTTTATGGGCTTCCTCCAGGGAAACGAAAAATTGAAAAGCCAGTAACATGCAGAAATCTCATCAGCCAGCAGGGGGCGCCAAATGACCTCCAATTCTGCACGTGGGCCAGGCCGGCTGGCCAATCTGGCTAGCCTCAGTCCTGGAACTAGCATAAGAATCTTCCATATTTCGCTGAGAAGTGTTAACACCCACTGCATAGGAGGTGACTGAACACCATAGAGCGTCGGCTGTGTTCCCGGCCTAAAACCTGCAGCCACAAGGAGCCTAAGGAAATTGGCCAAGTACCTGGGTGAAATCCTTAGAGCCTGCACCCCTCACGTTGACCCCAGGAAGTGCGTGTCCTTGACCTCACTGAATGTGCAGCAAAACTGCAGCTCCCAGAAGTCACCTGGCCAGTCCCACTGCTGTACACGGTGCAGCTGGGATTCAGCCCCCTGCTCCTGCCATCTTGGCCTGGGCCTTCCTCTGAGCCAGCCTCATTCCTGTTAACCAGTAGCTGCTAATGCAGCAGGCCTGGGGTGGCCCTGAGACCCTGCATCCCTCACCAGCCCCAGGTGACGTGAGGTCACCACCGCGTGTGTCACACTCTGTCTGGGTAGGCTCTACACTGCCTCATCTCCCCAGCTCAGCTTCCCATAGGATGGATTTGCTTTATTCCTCTGGGAACCATAGTGAGCACTGATATGCCAGTGCTATGCTAAATCCTCCAGGCATGACGGGAAACAAAGACACCTGGGGCCATGCCCTGGAATTTTCTGTTCTGCGGAGACCAGGGTCTTGGCAGTGAAAAGGAAAGCCCCAGAAAGGTCTTTGAAACGGTTCTTGGCTGGGCGTGGTGGCTCACCCCTGTAATCCCAGCACTTTGGGAGGCAAGGCAGGTGGATCGCCTGAGCTCAAGAGTTTGGGACCAGCTTGACCAATATGGTGAAACCCCATCTCTAATAAAAATTTTTTTAAAAATTTAGCAGGGCATAGTGGTGGGCACCTGTAGTCCCAGCTACTCGAGAGGTTGAGACAGGAGAATCACTTCAACCCAGGAGGCGGAGGTTGCAGTGAGCTGAGATCGCACCACTGCACTCTTGCCTGGGCACTGTCGTCTGAACGAGAGGTCCATCTTAAAAGAAAAGAATAAAAAAATAGTTCTTAAAGACTTTTTTTTTTAGATGGAGTTTTGCTCTGTCACCCAGACTGGAACACAGTGGCACAATCTTGGCTCACTGCAGCCTTCACCTCCCGATTTCAAGTGATTCTCCTGCCTCAGCCTCCCAAGTAGCTGGGATGACAGGCGCCCGCCACCATTCCCAGCTAATGTTTTTGTATTTTTAGTAGAGACAGGGTTTCACCATATTGGCCAGGCTGGTCATGAACTCCTGACCTTGTGATCCGCCCTCCTCAGCATCCCAAAGTGCTGGGATTACAGACGTGAGCCACCATACCCAGCTGGCCAGGCTGGCCTTAAACTCTTGACCTCAAGTGATCCGCCTGCCTCAACCTCCCAAAGTGCTAGGATTACAGGTGTGAGCCACCGCGCCCAGCCTCTTAAAGATTTCTCTACCGTTTTCTAGGTGACTCACAGCAATGAAGGTGTCTCTTAGACTCCAAGTCAGCAGGGGCAGGAGGGACACTCAGTGCCCCTGTTTCCCTCATTCCTACGGTCTTCTGTCCCCACAGATTTATTTCTGGGAAGCCCAGCAGCAGAACCTCACGGAGCGGGTGAAGACACTTTTCCTGGCTGAGAACAGTGTGAAGCTCAAGAACTTGACCGGCTACACTGCCTACATGGTCAGCGTGGCTGCCTTTAACGCCGCTGGGGATGGGCCTCGGAGCACCCCCACCCAAGGCCAGACCCAGCAAGCAGGTGGGAGAGGGGGCCCCAAGGAGGGGTGGGTCGGCCATGGCTGGGGACGTGGGGAAGGGGTTTGCAAGAGAGCCCACCCATCATCTGGGCTTTTGGGAGGTGTGGACACAGCTGCCTTATCCTATCCCCCTGAGGATCTGGGCGTGGTGCCCAGGTGCCTGGAGACACCCTCCCGAGTGGGAGAGCCCATGCTCAGAAAAAAGAAACTGTCCCCATAAGCCCTGAGAAAGCCCACATCTCATGCCTGTCCTCCCCACCCTTCACCCTGCCTGGCAGATGGACATCAGTACCCCAGCCCCTCCCAACCAGCCTACTTCCGCTCCCTGCCTTCTTCCCACCTGCCTTTCCTCTGACTCTCTGGCTTTGTTCATTCCACAAATACTGAGTGTCTTTTATGAGCCCACTCCATGCTAGATGCTACGGACACAATGGTGAGACCAACAAGCCAACAAGGTCCCTGCCCTAGTGCAGGGGACAGGTCATAAGCAAGTTGATCTAAATACAGACAGGGGTCAGGACAGGCGATCTAAGGGTGAAGGAGTGGGTGGGTGGGTGGCTCTGGTTAGGTTCACCCACAACGGCCTCCCTGAAAAGGTAAAATTTGAATGAGAAGAGGCCAGCAGGGACCGGGCACGGTGGCTCACTCCTGTAATCCCAGCACTTTGGGAGGCCAAGGCGAGTGGATCGCCTGAGGTCAGGAGTTCGAGACTAGCCTGGCCAACATGGTGAAACCCCGTCTCTATTAAAAATACAAAAAATTAGCAAGGCGAGGTGGTGGGTGCCTGTAATCCCAGCTACTCTGGAGGCTGAGGCAGGAGAATCACTTGAACCCAGAAGACGGAGGTTGCAGTGAGCTGAGATCGCACCACTGTACTCCAGCCTGGTAACAAAGCAAGACTCTGTCTCAAAAAAAAAAAAAGAAGAGAGAAGAGGCCAGCCATGGGTTGTCAGGAGGTGGCAGAACGTGTTGGGGGTTCCAGACAAAGGGAGCAGCAGGTGCCAAGGCCTGGTGGCTGGAGAGGAACCAGGGAACATAGAGAAAATCAGGTGGCTTGCAAGAAAATGGGGTGGGAGCTTGGGCTGGGGGATTGGGATTGGGGTTAACTATAATAAGAACAATGGGCCAAGAGTGGTGGCTCACACCTGTAATCCCAGCACTTTGGGAGACTGAAGTGGGCAAATCATTTGAGGTCAGGGGTTCGAGACCAGCCTGGCCAACATGGCAAAACTTGGTTTCTACTAAAATATAAAAATTAGTCGGGTGTGGTGGTGTATGGCTGTCATCCCAGCTACTCAGGAGGCTGAGGAAAGAGAATAGCTTGAACCCAGGAGGTGTGGGTTGCAGTGAGCTGAGATTGCGCCACTGCACTCCAGCCTTGGTGACAGAACAAGAATCTGACTAAGCAAATAAAAAATAAAACACAATGGGAAGCCATGGGAGAGCTTGAGCAGTTGAGCAACAGGGTCTGGTTTATATTTTGAGAAAGGTGCTCTGGCTGCTGGCGGGAGGTGGCCTGGCAGAGCAGAGAGACGGGGAGGGGAGATCAGGAGGCTGAAGGGTGGCGAGTGCAGAGGAGAGGGCGAGGGTGAGAATCCATCTGCCCCTGTGCAGAGCGAGCCTGGCAGTATGTGTCCAGCGCTCCACTCAGGCACTGTCGCACTTGAGCCTCCCAGAAGCCCTGGGGATGGTGGGGGCAGGTGGAACCCTCATTTCCCAATGAGCCAGGGTTGCCCAGGAAGGTATGCTACGTGTCCAGGGTCGCCCAGCCGGTCACTGAGGGAGCAGGGGCTGGAATTCTGAGAACCCAGGATTTCTGAGAACCAAGCCTTCAATCCCGGTGGACTGGAATACTGGCCCTTTGGTCCCGGCCTCCTCTAAGTGTCTTGTTCAACCTGCTGCTTCCTATGCTGTTGGTGACGTGTGGCTTTTAAAGAGCTGCAGAGGGACCAGGCATGGTGGCTCACGCCTTTGGGAGCCACCAAATCCCAGCACTTTGGGAGGCCAAGGCAGGCAGATCACAAAATCAGGAGTTCGAGACCAGCCTGGCCAATATGGTGAAACCCCTTCTCTACTAAAAATACAAAAATTAGCTGGGCGTGGTGGTGCACGCCTGTAATCCCAGCAACTCATGAGGCTGAGGCAGGAGAATTGCTTGAACCCGGGAGGCGGAGGTTTCGGTGAGTTGTGATCACACCACTGCACACCAGCCTAGGCGACAGAGCACGACTCCATCTATAAACAAAAAAACCTGCAGAGGGTACACCTGTGGAGTCAGTTCCTCATTACGACCCTCTTCGGGGGGCAAGCCCTGGCTCCAAGGGAAGCCTTTCCCTCCACTGTCCCCAGGTTCTGGCCGGGGCCAGGCTGACCATGAGCCGCTGAATGTGCAAGTCTCTCCGTCCGCCCCTGCCTGTCCGGGCCACTCTCTTGTCAGTGTCATCTGCTGGATGTGAGCCCCAGGGAACCCGAGGCTTCCGTCACTGCAGCAACAGGACAACTTGTTCTGTCCCACGTCCCGAAGCAGAGGGGAGGCAGGAAGGGCCCCTGAGCTCACCTCCCTCCTTCAAAGACACTCGCTGACTCTGCCTCCTGGGGCTGCGGCCGGAAGCGGGTCCGGATTAGCTCTGGCTTGGTGGGGAGGCAGCTCAAGGCAATAATAGCCTGGTCCTCCTTCCAGGCCAGCTGGGGACGCCGCAGATTGGGGCGCTTCCTGCCCTTCCTCTGTCCTCCCCCTCGGAGGAGCCCCCGCCGCTGTGTTTTCAGGGTCACTGCAGGGATCTCAGTCCAAGGAAATGTTTCTCCCAGAGGGTCTGACAGTCCTTGGCATGGCTCCTTCTGACTGCGTGGGGGCTCTGTAACAAGCCCTGGAGCCCCGGGAGGAGAGGAAGGCCACGGTCATCTGCTGGGGTTCTGGCGTCTTCTTTGTTTAGTGCCCACCAAATGTTCTGAGGCCTAGACACCCCCTACCTTCTCCTCCAGGGAAGCCAAAAGATGAGCCCCACAAAGCCAGGAAATGGCCTTGCCCCACGATGACCCTGGGGGTGTCACAGCTTGTCCCATGCTCATAGCCAGGGCTCAGAGCCACTTTGCAGGGAAAAGCCTGAATTCTGCAACTTGTGGGAAAAATAGAGTTCTCTTTCTTCCCAGTTCTTAGGACTCTGATACTGGAAAGTTGAGAGAGGAGAGGAAGGGGCCCGGTGACTTCTCCTGCTCGCCCCTTCTGCCGAGCCCTGCTCGCTTTTTCCTCCAGGGCTCAGACCCAACACTCCCGCTAGCTCCTTGAAGCTGAACCCAGGGCTTTGAACTTCCACAGAAGAAGGAAACAAAAACCCTTTGCTGTCTCCTGCAGCCCCCAGCGCTCCCAGCTCGGTCCAGTTCAGCGAGCTGACCACAACCTCGGTGAACGTGTCCTGGGAAGCACCACAGTTCCCCAATGGCATCCTGGAGGGTTATCGGCTGGTGTACGAGCCCTGCAGCCCTGTGGATGGTGAGTGGACCTCCCAGCACCTCCACAGCCCATTCACTTTGCAAGAGCTCGCTTGCATCTCGGTGCCCGTCACAGCCACTACATGTGAGTGAGAGAGCCAGTGAGAGTCTCTTCGTCTTATAAACACGGAAACTGAGTCCCAGACAAGGGAAAGGGCACTTCCAAGGTAAAATGACAGCAAGTGGAGGGCAGGGTGAGAAGAGAGCTCCAGGTCTCTGACTTCCAGGCAGAGAATTGTCAAGTATATTCTTCCTCCTTCCGCTGGAAACAGAGGAAAGGAAGGGAAACCTGAGAAGACAGGGCTCTATTGAGACCATAAAGAAGGGGGGCAGCCAGGGGTGGTGGCTCATGCCTGTAATCCCAGCCCTTTGGGAGGCCAAAGTGGGAGGATCACTTGAGCTCAGGAGTTTGAGACCAGCCTGGCCAACATGGCAAAACCCCGTCTCTACTAAAAATAGAGTGGCAGATGCCTGGAGTCCCAGCTACTTGGGAGGCTGAGGCAGGAGAATTGCTTGAACCCAGGAAGTAGAGGTTGCAGTGAGCCGAGATTGTGCCACTGCACTCCAGCTTGGACGACAGAGCGAAAATCCATCTCAAAAAAAAAAAAAAGAAAAGAAAAAGGGAGCCCCAGAGGGTCCTACCTTTGCCGTTTCCCAAACCTTAGGTTTTTCAGTGTTACTGTGGGTTAGTCCTTTAGCTTTTGTGGGAGTCGGGAACCCCTTTGAGAATCTGATGAGAATGAAAGCTTCAGAGCCTCTCCCCAGAAAGATGCACAAGACCAGGGATGTCCCTGCACCCCCACTGCCATCTGTGGACCCCAGATCAAGAGCCCTGCTCTGCAAATGACCTCACTCTTGTCCTACGCTTGATCTTAGCCAAAGGGCCAAGAAGCAATGCTCTTGTTCTTAACCCTGTTCATCTGAGTGGTCTTCGACTCCTTCCTCTGGGCCCCAGCTGGGACCCTGCCCCTTTTCTGCGCTCCTGGGATGGGCTGCGCAGCCTCTGACAATGGACATCTGGCACCTGCCAGCTCTCTACCCCCGGCAACATGCCAAGAAATCCTTGCCATTTTGTTACCAACAAGCATCCTACGAGGACGGGATTGAGGCAGGAAGGGGACTGCGCTCCTCCCTGCCTGGGGCTAGTTCCAGCCAGGTGCTGGGAGTGTGGCTGGCCTCTGGGGTTACCCTCTCTCTCTCAACCCCCCCAACCACAGATCCTGGCTAGAACAAGGGGTGGAGCCCTGGGAATGTTGCTGTGAGCAGCAGTTCTGGGTCAGCCGAGGGAACAATGGCCCTCAGTCTTCCCTGCCACCACCTAGATGCCGGCAGCTCCTTCTGCAAAGTGGAGCTGTGTTAGAACACCAAGGGGAAGCTGGGCCTCAGCAGGAGATCTGGTCAGGTACAGAACCAGGGCAGGGCAGAGGACAACAGTCCCTGGGGCAAGGTACAGGGGGCGGGGGGCCAGCACAAGACCTTTTTTTTTTTTTTTGAGACAAGTCTCCCTGTGTCGCCCAGGCTGGAGTACAGCAGTGTGATCTCAGCTCATTACAACCTCCACCTCCTGGGTTCAAGCGATTTCCTGCCTCAGCCTCCCAAGTAGCTGGGAGTACAGGTGCGTGCCACCACACCCGGCTAATTTTTTTGTAATTTTAGTAGAGACGGGGTTTCACTGTGCTGGCCAGGAAGGTCTCAACCTCCTGACCTCATGATCCGCCCACCTCGGCCTCCCAAAGTGCTTGGATTATAGGTGTACGGCACTGTGCCCAGCCCACAAGCCCTTTTCGCAGGGGCCTCAACCTGACCTGTCCAGGACCCTCTCAAGTTGACATATGTAAGCTGTTTCCCTTCCAGGTCCACTGTCCAGTGGGATCTGGACTGTGTGGCTCAACTCCCTGCCCCTACATGTTCCCATCTTGCCATCATACCTCAGTTAATAAGTTCAGCAAGACAAGGCCCCACCTGGCCAGCCCAGTGTCCACACCGCAGTTCATCCTGGGTTCGCATCAGCAGCAAACCAGCCTCACAAGAACCCAGCAGCCCCCATGGTCCTGTAGGGAAAACCAAGGCCCAGGTAGATGAGGGCTTTGTTCAGAATTGTCAAGGAGCAGGTAGCCAGAGTCTCTGTTCCTGGTCCTGGGGCCCATTTCATTCTTTCAGGAAGCCCCTCTGAGCCAACACTGTTCCATCATTCAATAATCCACTTAATGGCAGGCACAGTGGCTCACACCTATAATCCCAGCACTTTGGGAGGCCGAGGCGGTAGATCACCTGAGGTCGGGAGTTTGAGACCAGCCCCGTCTCTACTAAAAATACAAAATTAGCTGGGCATGGTGGTGGGCGACTGTAATCCCAGCTACCCGGGAGGTTGAGGCAGGAGAATCACTTGAGCCCAGGAGGCGGAGGTTACAGTGAGCCAAGATCGCGCCATTGCACTCCAGCCGGGGCAATAAGAAAGAAACTCTGTCTCAAAATAATAATGATAATCCACTTAATGAATAAATATATCGGGCACCTCCATGCTCTGTTACTTCACTTAAACCTCATAACATCCCGCCTAAAATGCTTCAGACACCATCACCTGGTTAAGCCAGGTTAAGGGACATGCCAGGGCCAGCCATCACTGGGTCTGAGCCCAGCCCACTGGCTGCAAGGCCTGTCTCTCAGTGGTGACTGGTGTGCTTGATGGAGTTTGGAAATGACACTAGTCCGGCTGTCAGTCAGGAGTGTTTGGATTTGTGAAGCAGAGTGCAAACTCCTACCTCCTAAAAGCTAGCCCAAGCCTCCCCTCTAGCTGCTGGGATTTGGGGTGCTGAAACATCCTCGCTTTTGCCCTAAAAAGCTTGGTGGACTGGGCACAGTGGTTCACACCTATAATCCCAGCACTTTGAGAGGCCAAGATGAGAGGATCACTTGAGGCCAGGAGTTCGGGAGCAGGCTGGGCAACATAATGAGACCCTGTCTCTGCAAAAGTTGAAAAATTAGCCGGGCATGCTGGTACACACCTATGGTCTCAGCTACTTGGAAGGCTGAAAGTGGAAGGATGGCTTGAACCCCGGAGGTTGAGGTCACAGTGAGCCATGATTGTGCCAGTGCACTACAGCCTGGGCAACAGAGCAAGACCTCGTTTTTAAAAATATATAAAAATCGTGGCAGATACAGGTGATGGAGGGCGATGGCACTTCCTGGCTGAACTGCAAAGGTGGAGCCGGCGTGGGGCTCAGGCGTAGGACCTGGTCAAAAGTATGTCCCCCAACTCTGCACTTTTGGTATTTTCATGGAAGCACTGCCTGAAAAAGTTTATAATTCTAGTCCCATGGGATGCTGCATAGGGGAATAAAAATGGAGGTGAAACGGCTGGATGCGGTGGCTCACGCCCGTAATCCCAGCACTTTGGGAGTACAAGGCGGGCGGATCACGAGGTCAGGAGTTTGAGACCATCCTGGCCAACATGGTGAAACCCCTGGCCTACTGAAAATAGAAAAATTAGCTGGGAGTGGTGGCACGTGACTGTAATCCCAGCTACTCAAGAGGCTGAGGCAGGAGAATCACTTGAGCCTGGGAGGCGGAGGTTGCAGTGAGCTGAGATCGCACCACTGCCCTCCACCCTGGCAACAGAGCGAGATTCCATCTAAAAAAAACAAATGGGCCGGGCGCGGTGGCTCAAGCCTGTAATCCCAGCACTTTGGGAGGCCGAGGCGGGTGGATCATGAGGTCAA